TGTTCCTTCCTGAAATACTTGTTTATTTTCCGTAAATTCTCCTTCTCTATTATATTTGATAACATTCCTGTTGATAACTGAGGTATTGTTCTTTTGATTTGCTTTTGGTAAATCCGGCCAGTTTTCCGGGCGAATCCACGGATTTTGATATGCTTTATTTCTACCTGCAATTATTTTCTTTGCCTCATAAACTGAAATACAATTCTTTGCACTGATATATTGAACGTTTCTATTGAATTCATATATAGGACAACGTTTAAAGTTGGCTTTATGCTTGCCACTGCAATTAACACAATTATATTCATTTCCACAGTTACCATGAGATTCCTTACCACATACAACACCCAGACAGCACAAAATATTCGGAGAATATTCTAACCAGATGATTTCCATATGTTCTGAAAATATTTGAGAAGAACATTCTTATATGGTTATAAGAATGTTTCGAATATTATTGGAATATTATTTGTTAAATTTTCAGAATATTCTAATAACATTTCAATGAATATTCTTATAATATTTCATTTTGTTTGTGACTGGAACGTTTGTGAACTAAAATATTCTTATAATGTCCTACGAACTTTTCTTTAAAAATAAACGCTAATTGGCCAACGCATGACCAATGACGCAAAGGGCAACGTGCTTATACGTCATTATTCCCTAGCACGACGCAATCTGTGTGCAAGAGTGCTCATAGAGGCGCTCTACAAACGCATGCTGGAAGCACTGGCAACAACTGCGAATGACTGATTGTAACCTCAAAATTTGTGCTCAAAATTATAACGTGATTATCATATGTCTTTTTGACTAATTTTTGAAAAGTTCTGGAAATATTTTTCGTTACAAAACAGGTGAGTACAATTTTTACACACACACACACACACACACACACACACACACACACACACACACACACACGCACGCACACGCGCACGCGCACACACATACACACACACACATATGTATATATATATATATCTAGTATATACATATGTACAAATATATGTCCTGTATATATATGTTCTAAGATTTACGCACGTTACTTCGTTTTTAACAGTTTTATATTTGTCACAATCATTTTTGGCATTAAATAATAACATTAGCTGCGTTCAACAGTACAACAACTGAGTGTCTTGTCAATACTCGACATTGATTTCTTTGTTCTAAAAGTAAGAGCCAATCATGTTTAATTGCTACTGAGCAGTTTGTTCTGCTGAATAAATTGTCCATTGAATGATTTATTAAAAAATTAAACATATTGTACACACAGAAAAATACATACTATATACAAGTAAATATTACTTGTTTCAAGTATTTCATAAGTTCATATATCCGCAAATCTATCATAAGTTCATCATAAGCATCAAATTTATTCAAAATATATTCTGAATCCTAATAAATTTAATATTTCAATCAAGAATATTAAATTATATAATTGAAAGAAATACATTAAATTTTTCTGATCTAATAAATTTTCTTACATTAAATTAACCATATCTGACTTTTCTTCGATAAAATTTTATAATATTCTTCAAAAGAAAATATTTACTTTTTTTGAGTACATGATAATGAGTATTTCTAAAATTTGTGACAAGTCTATTTTAAGACTATTATTAAGAAAATATTCTTTGTTAAAGATAACTGTTACTTAAAAGAAGTAAAGTAAACTGAATAATCATTTCACTTAGCAATAGAATAATATTTTTCTGTGTGCACTTATACTCGCGCGGATTAGCTATTTTTTTAAAATAAATCTCATTAATTATTGCAAAAATTGCAAAATGATATAGAACTTTCCTCTACTCGATTTAACCCTCTCTATACATGAGAGGTGATACGATTATTACCGGACATCTTGTTTAATTATATACATATTTGATTATATCAACTTTTTTCTCGATTTTATAAAAAAATAAGCACAGAATTGAATAAAAATTTATCTTTACTCTCTCCAGAATTTATAGATGAAGAGAGAAATGATGTAATAAGTAAAGACATTACTGAAATTGTGCCATTATTAAAATCTGATAAGATTATTGAAGAAAATTTGGATAGAGACATACCAGAGGATAATTCGTATTTTGTAAATGATGTAAGCGATCCATGGAATGAGCAATTAGTAAATAAAAAAAATACTGCTTCAACTTCAGATTCATTTTTAAAAAATAATTTAAAATACTGGTCACTGAAACACAAAATTGGTCATTCAGCATTTTCTGACCTTTTAAAATTATTAAAAACAAGTAACATTGATCCAAATGATTTGCCTTCAGATGCTAGAACTCTTTTATCTACTCCCAGAATTTTAGAAATTCAAAAAATGGAGCCAGGAATATATTATCATTTTGGTCTTTCTGAAGCAATAAAAAAACTTTATAAAGATGATGGATCAAACACGATCGAAGTATTAATAAATATTGATGGATTACCCTTAAGCAAAAGTTCAAGTAGCCAGATATATCCAATATTATGTAGTTTATATTCAAATCCTACAAAGATAGCTGCTGTAGGAATATATCATGGCTATGAAAAACCGATAAATGCTAACGAATTCTTATTACAGTTTGTCAATGAAGCAATAGATCTAACAATAAACAGTATCAATATTAATGGAAGTATAAAATAATTTAAAATCAAAGGATTTATATGTGATGCTTCTGCTAAATCTTTTATTTATTATATAAAAGGCCATACAGGTTTTTATTCTTGTACAAAATGTTTCCAAAAAGGAACATACTTGAAAGAACTTCAGATCCATCTTTTAAAAATAATTTAAAAGACTGGTCACTGAAACACAAAATTGGTCATTCAGCATTTTCTGACCTTTTAAAATTATTAAAAACAAGTAACATTGATCCAAATGATTTGCCTTCAGATGCTAGAACTCTTTTATCTACTCCCAGAATTTTAGAAATTCAAAAAATGGAGCCAGGAATATATTATCATTTTGGTCTTTCTGAAGCAATAAAAAAACTTTATAAAGATGATGGATCAAACACGATCGAAGTATTAATAAATATTGATGGATTACCCTTAAGCAAGAGTTCAAGTAGCCAGATATATCCAATATTATGTAGTTTATATTCAAATCCTACAAAGATAGCTGCTGTAGGAATATATCATGGCTATGAAAAACCGATAAATGCTAACGAATTCTTATTACAGTTTGTCAATGAAGCAATATATTTAACAACAAACAATATCAATATTAATAGAAGTATAAAAGAATTTAACAACAAAGGATTTATATGTGATGCTCCTGCTAAATCTTTTATTTGTTATATAAAAGGCCATACAAGTTTTTATTCTTGTACAAAATGTTTCCAAAAAGGAACATACTTGAAAGGTCGAACTTGTTTCCCGAAAATTAATTAATAATTAGTAAAAAAAGAACAGGTCAGAATTTTCAAAATAAAAGCCAGATTCAACATCATTCTGGTACTTCTGTTATAGAAAAAATTCCAGGAATTGATATGGTTTCTCATGTGCCATTAGAATATATGCACCTCATTTGTTTAGGTGTCATGAAAAAATTGTTGATGATGTGGATTTTTGGAAAGCCACATATGAAATTAAAATCTGAAAAAATTAATAAAATTAACAGATTGATATCAATAGTTATAGACAATTGTTATCAATAGTTGAATATACACCAAATGAATTTGCTCGAAAGCCACGTTCTTTAGATGAAATGAAGAGATGGAAGGCAACTAAATTCAGATTCTTTTTACTATATGTAGGGCCAGTCGTTTTAAAAGAAAATATTGAAAATGACAAATACATAAATTTCCTTTGCTTACATATTGCAGTGACAATTTTTTCAAATGAGCAATATATCCAAGAATATGCAGATTATGCGCATGCATTACTTAAATGTTTTGTTCAAAACTTTGGTAAATTATATGGGAAAGAAAATATATCTCATAATATACATGGTTTAATTCATATATATGATGACATACAAATTTTTGGAAATTTAAATAAATATAGTGCATTTCCATTCGAAAATTTCCTTCAAAATTTAAAGAATTTACTTAGAAAACATGAAAAACCGTTACAACAAATTGTAATACGATTAAAAGAACTAGAACAGGCAGTAGATTCAAAAGGAATCAATAAAGAAAGTTTTTTGTATGAGCGAAAACACTTTAATGGTCTAGTTCCTAATCAAAATTACATTCAGTTTAAAAAATTAAACTTTGAAAAGTTTAGTTTCAATATTGAAAGCCTTGCCGATTCATTTTGTTATTTAACAAGTGGCCATATCATGAAAATAGAAAATATTTTAGTAAGAAAAGATACTTACGTGTATGGAAGAATATTTCTCGAAACAAATAATTTATTCGACTATCCTTGCGACTCAAGTATTTTTAACATACGTATTGCAAAAAATTTGAGTGAATATTGTATACGAAGTGTGAGAGATATAAAAAACAAGATGGTGGCCTTTACTCAAGAAGAAGGCTTTATATTTTACCCCTTTCTTCATTAAAACTTTTATTATGAACTTCACATTTACACAATCTATAATTGTTATTTTAAAAGTAAGTAAAACACTATATTATTTTAATTATTCAATGATTTTATTTTATTTTTATTCCAGATTTTATTCCATTATTTTTATTCCATTATTTTTATTATGGCAATGAGTTGGAGGGTAGTGCACTTTATTAAAGAAAATACTGTAGAAGCCGTACCAGCATCCTGGGTCAAAGATATGAATGGATGTTTTTGGCCACCATACAGTGGATTAAAATTAAAAAATATGATAAAAAATTGCATCCTACCTTCTTATGATTGGGATCTTTACCATTCAAGGCTAATTGGTATGGAATTATATGGTAGATATTGTTTGAAAAAATTTATAATTTTTGTTTACATAATTATAACAATAATTATAACAAAAATTTTAGGAGATTTGAGTGTTGCAAAACATAAAGCAGCTCAAGCTGAAGAAACTTCCGATTTAGCTTCAGAAAATGAAAAAAGGAAAATTAAAAAATAAAATTTACATCATCTGATTCAGATTCAGATTCAAATCCAACCTTCAACATTTCCCATAAAAGAAAGAGGGTTAATAATGAAGTTATAAATGAAGAAAGTGATAAAGAGAATGAAATAGTTAACATTCCAATTTTAAGGAAGGCTACCAAAGGTAACTGTGACATATTTAAAAGTATATTTAAAAGTCTCATTCATGAACTGACCGAAATTTTTCTTTTATTTTAAGAAAATTTTGTGGCACCAGTTTCAAAAAACGTGGTCAATGTTCAAACTGATTCAGGTTAGTAGTAAAATACATAGTATAAAAATACATTAATAAATGCATTTTTTTGTATGATCCTCATAGGTATTTTTTGTTTTTCTAGTGCCGGGTACATCAAAAGAAGAACTTCCAAATACTGTTAAACCTGAAGAAGCTTCTAAAGGTATTTACCTATTGAATATTTCCTATTATACTAATTTTAATTTTGGATTCACATAGCTTTTATTATCACTAAAATTATATCATTATCAAATTTTATTTTGTAGAAATAAAAGTTATGAATTTGTCATTTATTATAATTTATTATAATTTATTTTAATTTATCATTAATTTTTTTTTTAATTTCCAGATGAAGCCTACAAAAGACAAGTACTAAGGATGCTGTCGATTCTGAATTATAAGATGGACCAAATGGCGGAAGATTTAAATAATCTTAAGATGCATAATATTATGGAAAAAGAGGTTCCCACAATGGAATCTTTATTTGAAAAATTTGAGTTGCCCTTAAATTCAATGGAAGAACTTCATAATTTAGAAATTTATTTAGAGAATGATGAAAAGAAAAAAGAAGTTGTAAGTTATTGGAATAAATTTTAATATTAATATAAGTAGTAGTTCAATATAAACTAGCAGTTTTATTATTCTTTATTAATTTTTTAAGGTGACAGAACTTTCAAGATTTGGAGGAGCTAATCCTAAAATTATGATTAAAAGAATTATGGAAAAAGTTTTCTCTAACGAGTTGGCTGTGCAATATTCTTGGCTGGGATTAAAAAAAAAGAAAGTTTTTCTAATTTGATTATTTCCCAAATAATAATAAGTAAGGATTTTAAAATTTATGTAACATATAATATATATAATATTATTTATAACAAGTATTGAGAAAATAATATTATTTTGTTTTGAACAACTTTTTGCAATTTTTTTTCAGAATCAGTGATGGCACTTCACACAAGCACTACAGCATCTGATGTTGAAAGTGCTATTAAAATGTGGTTGGTTAAAGCCAAACAAAGGATTAAACAACAACAGCAAAAATAATATATATTTATGTTTTTTTTTGTTAAATCTAATATAAAGTTTATACTTTTACATTGTATTCAAGTATTTTTGTTTCTCTTATATGTTATTTTATGTTGAAATTTTATGACAATTATTTCAGTGATAAAATTTTTTAGTACAAAGTATATTGTATTAAGGCTCTCATATATAAGACTCTAATTTTCTAATATCTGAATGTATTTAATTTTAATTTTTTGTTTCATTATATTTGTCTATCAGTATTATATTTTATATAAGATAATAATATAATATATATATTAACTATATAATATAAAATCTATATTATTTGTATCTATATCTTTTTTCTTTCATTACCTATACTCGCTCATCCAAATATTCATAGAATATCCTAAAAAGATTCTATCAAAATACGCAGAATGTTCTATAAAAGTTTATTTAATATCCAAAGAATATTCTCATAATATTTAAAGAATTATTAAGGAACTATTATGTGAAGTAATTTGAATATTCATAGAATATTCTATAGAATATTCATAGGACATTCACAATACGTGACTTTTTGTCTACTTCTAATGTTCCATTAAAGGTTCACAAAAACTCCGAAGTATCATGTAATAATATTCTAAGAATATTCAAACATTCTCCGATGTTATTCTATGAATGTTTATAGAACATACTTGTGCTGTCTGGGCACATATGTTATACTCTTTCCTGCAAAATTGCTTAACCCATATTTATAACACTTGTAGCATTGCTTAACCGTTGGGATGTATGGTCTTACTCTTATATTAGTCAGCCCTTCGTAAATACTTAATTGTTCTGGTAGTTTATTATCCTCAAAAGTCACGACTATATTCCTAGTATCTTTCCATTCATATACCTGTAACTCATTATTATATACACGTTTTCTTATATTTTCAGCACAGATAATCTTATTTTTATCATCCAATGCTTCGCCAAATCTTTGTAATGACATGTCCCAGTCTGAAATAACTCCTTTTCTTCTTACGATCCTTTCTATTATGTCAAACCATATATCTTGTTCATCGCGTGGAATACCTTTATAGAAATCCAAACATTTATTAGCATTCAGAATATTATCGTAATATAAATCTACTGCGTTAAAGCCTGATTTTACCACTTTTATTGGTCTCACTTTTGTTTCCATAACCTTATCTATAATACGTAGGAAATTCCTACCTCCCTTCGTAGAGCATTTCCTTGGATTAAGCTTAGCTGTAATAATTATATTTCCTCTATGACTTGATGCAAATCTGTTAACTTTTTCTATTTGTTCTAGACTCTTCTTTTCTGTTCCTTTTCCTTCTAACACTAATCTACCTTGAATTTTCACTAATCTGTTTACATTCCTAATAATCTTATCTTTATCAATTATGATATAATTATCACTATCATTTCCGTTATTTTTGATTGCATTAGACTCAATAATGGTTTCATTAGCAGCATATTTGGAAATTTCTTTTTTTGTTTTTCCTTCCGATAAATAAACTTCTGTCTCCATTTCGTCATTTTCTTCCTGATTTTTCTTCCTTAATACTAAATCTTTTTTAAAAGTACTTTGTTTTGCCGTTTTCTTACCCATTTTCTTTATTGCACCACTTCCTAATTCTTTATCTACTTTCCTTTTTCTTTCGTTACTGCAAACTAATGATTTTCTATAGTCTAACATGAATTTATCAAATTCTTGTACCTTTATATCTATTAACTGATTTACTATAACATTATCTTTCAGATCCTTTGTATTTATTTCCTGGGACTTCTTATCTAGTAGTATTCTTTATTCTATCGTTCCAGTGTACTCACCATTTCTTTCCTCAACTATATTACCTCTAACCTCATATTCCTCTTCGGCTAATTGCACTCTCCGATCCACCTTTAACAGGAACTACTGCTCCTCTCCTTATCTCTCTCTTCTAAATAGCTCTTAAAAGAGCTTTTTAAGTATACTTAGTAGTATGCAAATATCTTTAATATTTAAAAATATGTTAATTAGGAAGCACTCTCTTAAGCCACCATCTATACCCCTCGCGTACACTCATATATTTGTCCTCTATAAATAAGATAAGAAAATATTCTATACATTTATGACAGGATGTTTTCCAGTGAGCATTATTGAGAGGATGAGCTCTTTAAGAGGACTTTTTAAAGACTTAATTAAATTTTCTTAGAAATGATATCAGTAAGTTATCTTTTTGTAAGATATCTTTCAGAAGAACTCTTTATGATATCTCTTCATAGATATCTCTAAAGTCTTTAGCAAGCGTGCCATTTAAGATATTTTACGAACACCGCACACATGCGCAAGCAACCCTGCCGAAAATGATCGATTAAAACGGATTTTTAAAAATGTAATCCGAATCGATCGGGATTTCTGCACCGAAAATGCGGTATTAAAACCGATTGAAAATAGTCAAATCGAATTTAGTACGTTTCAGGCGGATTAATGTTGGGTGATATATCAATATGTCACATCCACGAGACGTCATTTTATGACGTTTGTTTGACGGCAAAACTAAGACCAACTACAGTAATAACCCAGTTAGCCAAGTCTGTTCTAACAGATTTTGGCAAGGCCTACTACAAATTATTGTCAGCAAAAAGGCTACGAATTGGGTACAAAAGTTGTTATTACCGATTAAGCTGGCAGATTGACGGCAATAAATGGTTAGCTGGGAATATAACACACAGTCGCCGACATTATAGACCAAAAATAGACGTCATTATATCGTCTTTTGACGTTACTCTGTTACTTGGGCAGTTACATTACATATTACTCCCATGTTACATAGCAGTTATATTCTGATGTTATATTGCATAAATAGAAGACAGTTATATAATCCCAATATAAATTAGGTATAACAACTGTTACATTACATGTTACTCCCATGTTACATAGCAGTTATATTCTGGTGTTATCAATATAAAGGGTGTTCCATTTTAAATAAGAGATAGTTATATAATCCCAATATAAATTAGGTATAATAACCGTTACATTACATGTTATTCCCATGTTATATAGCAGTTATATTCTGTGTTTGCTGGGAAATTGGCAAATTAGAGCCAGCGCGGGAGGTAGTGCGCATACTTTATTAATTCCGACTTTAATAATTTATAACATTACATGAACGTTTCGGTCCTTATTTTAGACCCTCGTCATGTAAAAATAAATAACCTAATCTTACAAACATCAACGAAGCGCAGTTATCAAAGTGACAGGAAACACACAAATTCAATCGGTTACAGAGTTATGCCTTAACCATATCCGTTGGTTGGTCATTGTCGAGGTCAAATAGGTAGAGAGTCGTCTTTGTTCAATTAACCGATCGCCTCCAACACCGGTTGCCAGACCAAGAAGTAAGTGAAGATCTGATCCGTCAGAATTATATGGATGTGTATAACATTTTGTGAGTACTTTCCGGAATTGGCAAGGAAAGGACAATTAAAGTTACATAGATCGGAGAGCTCTAACGGCTCGCCAAAATCCAAACAATCGGCTATTAGAGATTAAAAACAATGGATTGAATAACTGAATAAATAAATGAAAAACATATGTCATAAAAAGATAATAAAATAAAGAATATGTATGATAATAAATAAAATATGAATACAAATTGTCGTAAAAAGATAATAAATAATTGATAAAAATAAATAAAACTAAAAGAGTTCAAATTTAAATAATCCATTAAAAATTATACGATTTATGTCATGTTTGGTATCATTTTAATCGCAAGAATCTTATTAATCCATTATATTTATATTCATACTAATAAAATCTAAAATGTAAGTTTCAGTTTTTATTTTATAAAATGTTTATATTTTGTACATAAGGAAAGATCCCCGATGCTGAAGAATCGACAAAAGCGAGAGCAAGAAAGAATGAAGGAGCAAGCGAGATGACAAACATCAAAGAGTTCCGAAGTCTCGCTCGCCAGACGCCCTTTATCTGTAATCTTTGACGTATATATGTCATCTTATTATAGAAAATAAAATCTCTGTATTTCGCATTTTATATATCTGAAAATAATTGTAAGGGATTAATTACATTTTTGCGATTAAAATGACACTAAATATGACATAAATCGGATTATTTTTAATGAAATAAGTAATCATAATTTTAATTACATAATTGATTAAAAATTATCCGATTTCGTGTTTCGTATCATTTTAATTGGTAAAATATCATTAATTCATTGTAATCCCAGTAAGCAATTTGATAACAAATTGTCGCCAAATTGGCATCAAATTCGGTCAAAACTTGGTAACAAATCCGGTGCCATCTGTGTCCGCATTAAGCTTGTGTTTTGGTGACAAAGCTTGCTGACATAACCTGACAGCAAATTGACGGCAAAAACCGAGCAAAGCTTGCTGACATGATTTGACGTCAAATTGGTGGCAAAAATCGAGCAAGATCTGCGCAGGACAATCTGACAGCAGATTGTCAGCAAAAACCGAACAAATTCTGCAGCTTTTGGCCATTCATATAAAACAGTATATTTAAATGGATTTAAAGTCTCAACCCTAAGTAACAAAATGATGATAAGTTTTGGTCATAAAATGACCATTAGATAATTAAACATTATCACAGCACCTAGAAAAAATTTTAGAATTCCGAGAATATGGGAAGGGAAAAAGTGGTTTTCGGATGAAATAAGAGAAGCAGCGGCTAAAAGGGATGAGGCATATAGGAAGGCATTGTATGCTGACACGGAACAAAATTGGTTGCAATTTAAAATTGAAAGAAATACAGTAGTTAAATTAATTAAGACAAAGAAGAAAGAGTATTATGAATATATGATAGATCTTAATAAAGAAAATCCTACATCTATGTGGAAAACACTAAAAGAAATAATTAGAGGCGAACCAGGGGGTAAGAGGGAAGTAGAGAATATAGATTTTGAAATATTAGACGGCACTGAAGGATGCAATATAGCAGATAAATTTAATTTATATTATATACAAAGTATTAATAGTATAGTAAAATCTATAAATGGGAGTAAAACTGGGAATGCATGTAAAAGAATTATTTATGTTATTGAAAACGAGGGAATTATGGAAAATTTTGAAATGATTAGTATAGAGCATTTACAGGAAATTGTTATGGGACTACCGAAAAAGAAAGGTACAGAGGAGGGAATAACTAGCGATATATTAAAGGCAGTATTTTAAAGTGCGATATATTAAAGGCAGTATTTTAAAGTGCGATATATTAAAGGCAGTATTTTAAAGTGCGATATATTAAAGGCAGTATTTTAAAGTGCGATATATTAAAGGCAGTATTTTAAAGTGCGATATATTAAAGGCAGTATTTTAAAGTGCGATATATTAAAGGCAGTATTTTAAAGTGCGATATATTAAAGGCAGTATTTTAAAGTGTTAGAATTAGTAGTTAAAAAGCAAATTGAAACGTATTTGGAAGATAATTGTATTATAACGGAACATCAGTCGGGCTTTAGAAAACAGTATTCGTGTGAAACAGCGATTCAATCAGTCATTGATGAATGGAAATTGATAGTTAGTGAGGCAAAAATGGTAGGGGTAATTTTCATGGATCTTAAGCGAGCCTTTGAAACAATAGATAGAGAAAGATTATTAGAGAAATTATATCAATATGGAATTAGGGGAATGGTTATAGAATGGTTAAGATCATATTTAAAGGATAGAACACAGCAGGTTCAATTTAATAATAAATGGTCTAAATTAATGACCACAGAATATGGAGTACCACAAGGATCTGTATTAGGACCTTTATTATTTATAGTATATATTGTAATGTTACGTCCGGCGGACTTCACGATTCTTTTCTTTCATCGTAAATAGAGATTAGCCGTATCTTAAGAGCGCATTACGTCTTGAAATAAACAAATGGAAACTGAAAGGCGAGACAAACTTTTCGGAAACAAAAATAAAAGGATATATGATACAAACAGGAAACTAGAGCATATCTGATCTAAGAAATAAGCAAATTAATCAACCACTAAAAGCTTGGATGACAAATTCTCTTACTAATCTAAATTATGGTTGACAGCTCTCGTAATAAACAATTTCGATACCAAGAATCTAAATGAAAACCGAAACGGACATTAAAAATGATATCATATGTGCTCGCCTGACAGATCTCCAATTATAATAAATCAATTAATAACTTCAATCATTTACGTTTCAATCTTAACTAACTTCCCTATTCGAACTTCTCTTCTTTAGTTCTTTTAACCCCTTCTCTGAAATATTACCTTGGATCTCCTCTTTTTTTATATTACCTGTCATCAAGGGTCACCTGTATTTTACAGAGCAACTCGCAACTTCTTACCTGTCATCAAGGGTCACCTGTACTTAACAGAGCGACTCGTGATATTCTTCCGTCGCCAAGGGTCACCTGTACTTTACAGCGCGACTCGCGGTTTCCTATCTATTGTTAAGGGTCACCTGTATTTTACAGAGCGACTCGCAAACTTCCTACCTGTCATCTAGGGTCACCTGTATTTAACAGAGCGACTCGTGATATTCTTCCGTCGCCAAGGGTCACCTGTACTTTACAGCGCGACTCGCGGTTTCCCATCTATTGTTAAGGGTCACCTGTATTTTACAGAGCAACTCGCAACTTCCTACCTGTCATCAAGAGTCACCTGTATTTAACAGAGCGACTCGTGATATTCTTCCGTCGCCAAGGGTCACCTGTACTTTACAGCGCGACTCGCGGTTTCCTATCTAATGTTAAGGGTCACCTGTATTTTACAGAGCAACTCGCAACTTCCTACCTGTCTTAGAATTATTATTTCCATGATTGCGCGTTTATTATCTACTGTATGATGACG